ACTTGTGGGGTGATATCAAAAATGCTGTTTCTGAAGCAAAACCAAGAAATGTAAATGAATTGTGGAATGTTGTTAAAGAATCATGGAGTGTAATAACAGCTGAAAGGTGCCACAAGTTGGTTGACTCCATGCCACACAGATGTGAAGCAGTTATAAAAAACTGTGGTCATACAACTAAATATTAGTTTAGTGATTCACAGGATTGCTAAATCCTAGAAACAAAAACGTTTGTACAAAATAGTTTTGTGTTTGTACAGTCAACGGCAGACACTGCTATTTTTTTGAACACACCCCTTTCAACTAATTGCCCAATTGCACAGCCTTAAGAGCGCGCATATCATGAATGCTGGGTCTTGTTTGCTTTCTGAGAATCTACTGCACCTACTGGTAACTTGTTTGCCATGTAGCAATAAAAAATATACTAAAAACCTGGATTATTCTGGTTAGTCACATTGTACTGCTATTATTTTGAACAATAGTGTAATGGCAACACTAGGCTTATGCAGAAAACTGGGAAACCGGAGTGCCATTACTTTTTCTTGTGACTAAAGAAAGCTCCTATGATAAACATAACCTATTTAAGGTGAAAGCCAAGCTTAAAGATGTTTTATGACTTAACAACAGCAACCCAATAACAGTGTAGTTGCGCCCATGGACCTAAGCTTTTTTCTGGAGATGTTTTTTTCAGTTATGAAAAAACATAAAGCTGCGACCTCCAACACCCGTTCGAGCAGCTGGTCATGCAGAACATCAAGTCCATCCTTACTTCCTCCCTCCCACAACCCATTTCAGTTTGCATACAGGTCATACAGGTCCACAGAGGATGCGATTTCTGCTGTTCTCAGTCCAGCCCTCACCTACCTAGATTCAAAAATTCTTACATGCAAATACGGTTCCTAGACTTCAGTTCAGCATTCAACACTATCATTCCCCAGCAGCTCATACAAAAACCTGGACACATGGGACTCAAAAACTCTCTTTGCAACTGGGTGCTGGACTTTCCCCCACTGACCAGCAACGGTGCTGTAGTGGAGAGAGTGAGCAGCACCAAGTTCCTGGGGATGCACATCCCTGAGGACTTCTCCTGGACCAACACCACCACATTACTGGCCAAGAAGGCTCAAACATGCCTCTACTAACTCTGCAAACTGAGGAGAGTTAATGTCCCACCCCTCATCATGCGCTCTTCTGAAGATGGCGCCGACAGCAATGGCAGCCTTGGTTACTCGCGCTCTCTTGTGTTTGTTGTTTTTCTTTGTTTTCTCTGTCTTTTGCAACCCATCCCGGATTACTTTTACCAGAGAAGAACTGTTAAATATTGGACAACTCACATCGAACTACCTTTCTCCGATTTTTGTGAACGAAGAATGCTGTATGGACATTCTGATTGGAGGCGCAGCTGCCATATACGGGACCTAGAAGAAACGATGGTGTGGCAAACGAGCGGGCGCCTTGGTGGAGCTACGCCAGAGAGGGACAACAGGACCAACTCTGACAAAACATGCTCTGCTGCCTTGTGCTTCACAGTTTGGCTGAGTGACACCATCGCGGACAGCGCAATCCAAGTACCGGGCTTCCAGGTGTTCAGATCGGATTGCGTTATGGAGCTGTCTGGGAAAACAAGAGGAGGGGGAATCTGTCTCTAGATAAATAAAGGTTGGTGCACTGATGTCACGGTGCTACAGAGGACATGTAACATGGACTTTGAGACTAGTTATCAATTGCAAACCTTTTTATTCTCCCCGAGAATTGAACTTTTTTATTCTAATCGGAGTGTATATAAGACCACAGGGCCATTGTAGTGCACTACAGCTCCTGGCAGAACCGATAACTAGCGCTGAACTAGAACATCCCAACTCTCCACTCATCGTTCTAGGGGACTTTAACAAAGCAAATCTCTCCCATGAACTGCCAAAATACAGACAGCACGTCACCTGTCCCACCAGGGACAAAATCACACTGGACCACTGCTACACAACATTAAAAGACGCCTATCACTCTGTCCCCGCATGGTCCATCTTATTCCAACCTACAGGCCGAAACTTAAAGTTGTGAAGCCTGTGGTCAAAACAGTGAAGAGCTGACTGAGGAGGCTAAGTCAGAGCTACAGGCCTGCTTTGGCTGCACAGATTGGAGTGTATTTGAGACTGCAGCTACAGACCTGGACGAACTCACTGACACTGTGACATCTTATATCAGTGTGGATGTGTGCGTGCCCAAAAAATCCTTCTGCACATACAACAACAAGAAGCCCTGGTTCACAGCAAGACTCAAGCAGCTTCATCCTGCCAAAGAGGAGGCCTACAGGTGTGGGGACAAGATTTTGTACAGGCAGGCAGGCCAGGAACACACTGACAAGGGAGATCAGAACAGCAAAGAGGAGCTACTCTGAAAAGCTGAAAGCCCAGGTTGCAGCTGACTCCTCGTCTGTGTGGAGAAGCCTGAAAAGCATCACTGGCTATAGGAAACCATCCCCTCCCTGCTGTGGATGACCGTCAACTAGCAGACGACCTGAATGTGTTCTACTGCAGGTTTGACAATCAACACTCCCCCCTCATCTTCCCCACCTCAGACCCAGCAGCTTCTCCCCCGACAATCACCACCCTTCCCTCCAGCCCCCCACCTCTAATGATCTGTGAAAAGGATGTGTGTGGCTTCTTTAAAAAACAAAGGATCACAAAGGCACCAGGCCCAGATGGTGTGACCCCCTCCTGCCTGAAAGTTTGTGCTGATCAGCTGGCCCCCCCATCTTCACACTCATCTCCAACAGGTCACTGGAGATGTGTGAAGTTCCCTCCTGCTTCAAACACTCCACCATCATCCCAGTCCCCAAGAAACCTTCCATCAGTGGACTGAACAACTACAGACCTGTTGCCCTGCCATCTGTAGTTATGAAGTCCTTTGAAAGATTGGTGTTGGCCCACCCGAAGGACACCGTAGATCCCCTGCTAGACCCCCTGCAGTTCGCCTACCGGGCAAACAGGTCAGTGGACGATGCAGTGAACATGGC